TACTGCTTGCCTTCAGGAACTTAAATCCTTAGCACCCTTCACCTAGATTAGTGCAAAAGCCTCTTAGTCGTTTCCCTGCTCTAATCCTTTATTCCCCCCCCGCCACCTACACACTGTGCTTTTATCACTTGTTGAAAAGGTAATGGCCAGCACATAAATCCCAGTGTAAACGTATTCCTGGCTCTCGCAACATAAAATACAACGCCCTAAGTGCACTGGCAGGATATCCTGCTACTGAGCTGAACTTTGTACCCGGAGCGGTCAGGGTGCTTCAAACACACCTATGCCTCTGCATCCGTGCTCTTAGGAAGGCCACTGCCCATCTGCAGACCCCCGACCCAACCACACTGCTCCCGATCTGCTACAAGGATTTGAATCACTGCAGTGTTCCTGACTTTTAAGAACTAAATTCGTTTCTTGCCTATTGACCCATAAGTGTTCTGAGGATAGGAATGACCTTTCTCATCTCTGTGAGACCATCAGTTATACATATGTTAGGTACACAGCAGGAGTTCAATGACTCCCTACTGAATTCCACTGGGAAGAATCAATACTTTAAAGCTTCCTAGACTTAGTCTGGATTGCCCAGCCAGTGGCCCATGTGACTTTATCATTAATTTCTATCACCAGGCATAGAGTAATACATATGTAATAATTGATATTAGTAGTAAACATCCAGGAGACAGTCCTCGAGGACGACGTCAGTCAGTTTTCAAGGGGAACTCTTGTGAAAAGAAATCAGGAGACAAGAAAGGAAAGACGTGGAATCTCCAGTGACCAGGAAGCCAGTCAGTTAGTCAATATCATTAAAATAGTCCCTGAACTTCAGTCTGCACCCCACCTAGCAGTCTGTGCGACTACGCGGGTATCATTCTGGGCCTCCTCTGAGCTGGGCGAGCTGGGCTGCCCTGCCCTGGGCCCCACGCACAGGAAGCTCAGTAGACAGCAAGGCAGCAGAGTTCATGTGCTGTTTACTGGGCCGCGGCCTCGCTGCCCTCTTCTTTTGAATCCCGTCTGATTTTGTGGCTTATTCCGTCCAGCACGTAAGACACTGTGCAGGTGAGGGCCTGGTCCTTCAGACTGTAAAAGCTTTGGATTTACAATCCTGGAGCTCAGCTGTCACGCTGTGGGAAAGCCTAGGCTATTCTGCTGGATGAGAAGGCTCACCAAGGCCCCGGACTTGTGACTGAGGCACACACCGGCAGCTCAGCCACCAGCTCATGAGGCTGTGTGGTAACCTCAGCCAACACCAAACTGGAAGAAAAACATCCCAGCCACCCACAACATGAAGAGAAGAGGTAGTTTTCGAATTAAGCTACTCAGTATGGGGGATTTTAAGCAGTGATGAGTAACTTGAGTTAAGTTACTCAGTATGGGGGATTTTAAGCAGTGATGAATAACTAATCACTGACATACAAATTCCCCATTGCCCTGGCCCCACTGCGATAGTATTTAGAAATAGAAACCAGCATACAGAAATACAATCACCATGTAGGTTTCTACACCAAGCTAATGGTTCAGTGCGATTTTAGTGCCCTCACCCCTTGAATGCTTTGTTTCTCAAATCAGTAATAGAAAACAAGCTGCAACTCCTTCAACAATGGACGAGTCCTAAATGTCCAAAGCTTCCTCCTGAACCCCAAACTCGCCGCTTTCACCTCCGAGTTTCCCTACAGTCCATGCACATTTTCATGTCAATTCTCTTTAAGAGCTTTTATTTCTGTCAGCACCGTATTCGGATTTTTCAGAACAGAATTCCCTTGGGTGGTGGCAGAACACAGTACCTAGGGGCAGGCAATCACTCCTAAGTGCCTGAGCCCATTTAGTGTACAGACTGGAAATCAGGTCCTGCCACCATAGCGTCGAGGGAAATGCTGGCGGTCCATCCTCCTCTACGCACAGAGGGAAATTACAGTACATCCACGAGTCATTCCAAAAGGACTCTAGGAAGAGGAGGGGTAGATACACGATACAAGGAAGGCTGGCTGTTGGCGGGTATGGCGGGGAAATGGTGCGATTCCTTTTTTA